TCGCTTTCTGCTAGCAAGAGGAAGGAGTATAAGCAAGAGAATATGATAATGATATTTTCTTTTGATACAAGCTGATGCACATATCAGTATTGAGCGCCAGCATCACTCTTGAGAAGTTAAGTAGAGCCATTTTAACTGGAAGTAAAAAACACTTATAACGGGTCTGAAAGTTGTAAGAAATGCCAAATTTTAAACAAAATGAAAACAATTAATATAAACGAAATCCGTACTCTTCCCGTTGGTTTTGTTTATGATGAATCTTATTATCTTCTTGGAGCCATCTGTTCAAGTAGAAAGTCTGTACTGCTAAAGTTATTTGCTAACTTAAGACATTTGCCTCTTAAGGTGATCCCTACGCGTTGGTATAGTCAGCGGGAAACGAAAGTTCGGCCATGTTACTGCGGTACGGGAAGAGGAAGATTTTGGTAGAGTTAAAATAAAATTTACGTAATCCTCAGCTCTATAGTTGGGCGGAAAAATTGGAAAACTAAGGGACCCAAATCTCCCTTTCGTTCTTCGCTCTGCTGCTACTATCACCCCGTTGATTGTTTCACTCGGATTGCCCTGTTTTATTCGCTGAACGCCTGGAACAGACCATCAGCTTGCCAGCGACGATGACTTCGGGCCTCTGTGCGGTTGTACGCGGTTGAGTTCATAGTATCTTCCTAGGATGGTTTATGCATCATTACACCAGACAGTGGCAACTCTATCACTGGCAGATCGGCGCAATATTTAAGAACGTGCCGCCTTTTATTGCCTGAGGATGAGCATTACGAGCAGTTTCCCAGCCTTAGACGGTCTATCTAATAAAGTCTTACTTTGAGGAAATTATCAAATCCTACCCCAAGAAAATCCGAAATTCAAGATAAAATTTTCTCCAAGAGTGAAAAACCTTTTCACTAGCTCAACATACCTTGTTAATGAGATAGCTTCACAAGTTAAGGTGAGATTAACGAATCCGATATGTGTCAGGTATTTAAACAAAACAAATCCCTCGCTTTGCTGAGGGGGGGGGAAAATTCTATCGCAAAACTTTTTGTCTCCACGGGAACAATTGTCGTCGTATGTCGTATGATTATATGGTAGCTTTAAACCTCCGAATCAGCTTGTATATTTTCTTTTCCCAATTTAGGTAATGGGATGATATTCTAGAGACCTTTGTTTTTTTTTTCAAATTTCGATCTGTTCACGAGTATATAAATGCATACATTTAAAAAACAAAGGAAAGAACCATTGAGACCCCCCTTCGGAAAACAAAACATAAAAGCTGAAGAGGTGCGCAAAATGGTTGGAAATTATATTGGGATTCATTTTGGCGAAACAGATAAACTTATGTTATTAGGATTTCATCCTGCAAAATCTGCTTTAATCGCTGAAGAGCTTTGGTCTTTGCATGACATGAGCTAATTTTATTTTACGAAGACCTCCACTTGTGGAACAAATCGTCGTTGAATTATCAAGAATAGTCTTTGCAATTAAAATTCATTGCCGTCAATAGAACGTACGAGTCAGAAAAAAATCGGAAAAAAAAAATTAGTTCTATCGAGTTGATTGTGCATCAGTGCACCCGTTATGATAGAAACACTTTTTTTAGAATTTCCTTGTTCAGTGAATAAATATTGCTGCAGATTCTGAAGATCCCTTGGTACGTGAAGAAACCGGAGTCTTTCCGTAATTATGCGGAGTCCGGGGAAGGCTGGATATCAAACCTCGTAAAGTTGGCCCTCGTTCTGTTATTTTTTTCTCTGCAAAAACGTTTATCGACAATTTCCGATAATAACTCATCGTAATCCGAGTCGCGCAGTGACTGAATTCCAAACGAGATCTCATCATGTTACTGGGCAGAATCGCTGGCAGGCCTCCACACACTCGTTGATCTCGTTTGTCATACAATCGGGGAAGCACTTAGCTTCACAGCTCATCGTGTCACCTTCTTTCGTCTGATCTTGATTAGAAGGAATTAAAAAGGAATAAAGTGCAATTTAATAGTCTATCGCTGTAGCCACTCAGACCAAAGAAAGATGAACTACCAAGAAAAATTATGAGTAGAGAAATGCCTGAAGTAAGCAAAAATGTAACTGACTAAGACGTGATTGGTCTTAAAAGTGCTTTTCGATTAAGTGTCCTAGGACTCAACCTATCTTAGCGAAAGAAAATACTAAGGAGCCAATGAGAACTTAAGATAAAAACAAGTTGCCTAAAGCGCGGGAAAACGCATGTGACCGGGTTGCGATTGGTTTCAGCTGTGTCTGATTGGTTGAGGGAGGTAGCGTAAATTTTCAGGACCAATCACAGAGGGAAGTAATGCAAACCTAGGCTACCCAGACTTCTTTCGACACTCGATTGAAAAGAACTCTAAATTTTGCATCTGATTGATAGGAAGCCTACCGCTGAAGGCTTAACAAAAGCCAGGCGGCCCAGACTGTTTTCGACGATAAATTGAAATTTCTCTAAAAACGGCCAAACGTTTCTATGAATTCTTGATCTTAAGGGATTTTTGCAACCAAGCAGCCAATAGTCTATGCTTAGGAATTAACCAATAGGATTCCAGAAATTTGTGTAGCGTAAAATTTAAGTCCAAAACTCGTTAAACCTTATAATTTACGTATCACCTTTTGCCTCTTTAAAAGTGTTTAAAACTTTCTAAGACTCTTTGAAATTTCTTATTAATCCCAGAACTCCAGTAAATTGTCATTATAAGACTCATTAAAGGTGCTACTCTTAAGACTGTAGTGATGAACACGACTTTTTAATTAGCGTGTAACTTAGAGTTAAAATAAATTAGGCAAAATTTGCGCCGCTTTCGAGAGTCGGGTTCGATTGGTGACGATTAACCTCCCAAACAACTTGTAGATCCTGATTATAAATGCAACCCTTAAAATACGCAAAACTGCTGAAACATTGGATGGGATAGCCTTTTACTGATAGGGAAATTTTTAAATACAAGTAAACCGGATTTTTTTCACGGTAACGATATTGTCATAGTACCAATCAGTGGACTGTTTAATGCAAACGTTTGCCTTATTCGCTCTGAAAACAAATCATTTAAAGAGGTGAACTATTCATTTTATTACAAACTAAGCAAGCTGAATTGCTTTTTATTCAAGCATTGTAATCTTCTCTCTCTCTTCGCTTTTTTCTTGCTTTTCATGTGTATCTTCTTTTGCCTGATCTTACTTAAGTATTTACGATGCTATGATTGCGATATGACCTTATGTTTACAGGTTATTGATTATCATGAGAAAAACAGCTTTGGATTATGGAACTGATCTTCTATGTAAGGCTTGAACTCATGATATATTTAGTCTACCTCGTTTAAAAACTCTTGACGACCTCGAATTGATAAGCGGGTTTTTGAGTCTTGCTCTTCCTTCTGGGATACGAGAAAACTCGTTTTAAAATATAGGTGTACTCTGAGAAAAGTCGCTCTCAAATACGCCATGGC